AGCCCTAGGTTCTGTGGGAAAAATGATGCTTTTCAAGACTTCTGATGTTGCATGTATGTCAAAGCAGATTATTTTTATATCTGTGAGCCCAGCATTCTCATAAAAGGCTAGTGCTCTTCTTGATGATCAATAGCTAGGGGAGATGTTCTTCTCTCCAGAATGGATTTATGCCAGATCTTAGGCTCCTAGGGAGAGTGTGGGAATGGACAACAGCAGCTTTCTCCAGACAGGAGCTTTCCAGATGCTTTGGGCTTCAACCCCCATCAGCACCAGTTAACATGGCCAATGGGCAGGAAAGCTCAGAGTTGTATTCTCATAATCCAGAGGACACTAGGCTGGAAAAGACTGGATACAGAGATGACATCTTTGCCCAGGAAAGTCTCCTTTAAATCAAGATATGAACCAAATAAAGCAAAACAGATGGGTCAACCATACCTTGGAAAGATATCAGAGCAGTTCATCTCAGCTGTACTTCTTGCAAACTGTTACATCATGGTTGGCATTATAATCTTCTTTTTCATTGGGAAGTTCTTGGGAATTCCAGCACATCCCCATTAAAATTCCAGATCCCAAACAGTTCACATTGGTAGCATCCAATCCCCACACCAAGGATCATTCAAACGCCTGCCAGCTCTTCCCCACACACAACAGGATTGCCAGGTCTCTGGTGGCCCAAAGTCTGAAGCTCATGGGGTGAGGCATAATGATGTTGCCTGGCAAGGCTTTGTGATGTCATCAGGCAAGGCTAGCACAGTTATGGGGCTGGCAGGCAAAAATCTGCTACCAGGCATGGCTCAGACAGATCCAGATAGGAAAAACTCAGCAAGAAAAAGGAGTGGTGGGGGAGACATGGGTCCCCTCCCCCAACTCCCACAGGCAACATTTGGAATGTGGGGTAACTTTTTCTTAAAGAAATGTAGGCAATATTTTCTCTTTCAGAATGGGTGCTTTAGTGAGAGTAGGTAGGTATCAAAGTAGTGTCTTGCAATAGCTCTGCAAACTGCTGATACCTCAAGACTTGAAAATAATTATTTGGTGAGGATCCTGAGATTAAATTTGCCATACTGAGACCCTGGGAATGGCCAGTAAAGCTTTGGGGGCAGTAGCAAGACTGGCCGCTGCTCTCCAAGGCCCCAGCCAGGAATATGAGCAAGGCCACCAACCACAGCAGAGTTTGCTTGCTATATTTTGAGGTAAATGAAGTAATATTAGTTACTGCCTAAGGAAGGAGAGAGGATACAGACCTTTAAATCCAGAGTCTAAATTATCTAACTGCGTAACTGCTCAAGACCAAAGCTAGAGACCTGACAATCCTAAGATAAACACTAATGTACCTTAATGAAGTTTTTATTCTTTTATTCTGCTTTCTATGAACTGGAGTAATTTACTCTGCAGTAACTTGTATTACACCAGTTCAAAATCCAAGAGGACATTCATTTTTTAAATATATGGAGAGCACCATCCTCCTCCTCCTCCTCCTCCTCATCATCATCATCAATAATAACAATAATAATTATAATGGTCTTACAAGCATTAACAGCAATTCAAAATATATCTCAGAAACTACAGTGTGTGAAATGGCTGGTTATGACACACTGTGCAATGCTTCATCATCCTTACTATTACATTTATATCCTACCTTTTCCTTCTTGCAAAGATAGCAAAGTGGAATACATGACTCCCACTCCTGTCTGTTATCCTCGCAACAACACCATGAAGTAGGTAAGGCTGACAGTCGGTGACTGGCCCAAAATAACCCAGTGAAATCCCTGGCTGAGCAGGGACTAGAACCTGGATCTCCCAAGTCCCAGGTCGAAACCCTTACCACTGCACCATACTGGCCTTAGTGTGCACGAGCATGTGCTGATGCTGGAGACAATGTGTGCCTTCCTCACTCTGTGATGTCATTTCTAAATACTTTGGGCAGCAAAGAGAACCCTATTTGCTCAGAGGCACAGATAATATACATACCACAAGTTAGGAAAGATAGCAGGAGAAGTCCAAAAAGACAGCCGCTAAAGAGAAGAAGGTTCCTTTTAAGAAAAGGAAATCTTGCCGAATCAGAAAAACAAAAGGGAGCATACACATGGAGGAGAAGGCCATCGATGGCTGGCTACTAGCCTTGTTGGCTATGCGCCACCACCATGATCAGAGGCAGCATGCTTGCATACACCAGTTGCTGAGGAGCTTGGGGAGCCTGAACCCTCATGCCCATCTAACTTGAGATGTCTGGAGCTGGTTCGTCACCCCATGTACAGAGTGCTAGACTGGATGGACCATTCATCTGCTCCAGCAGAGCTCCTGCTCAAAATAACACCAACCCTCACATGCCTGGTGCTATTAAGGCATCCTCCAAAGGCCAAAATGGCATCAGAACAGAAAGAAAGGAGAGAGGCATGTAAACAATTGGAGCATATGTTGTCACATGGTTTGATCAAGATTTGATCCTCCATCACATGTCAGGAAGTTGTCAGCATGCTGGAGTCAAGAACTGACAATCATAACATTGTTGGGAACACTAGTTACTTGCTGAGTAATATGGAATTAGTGATCTCTAATGAAGAAAGATCATGTAATTAGGGGAATGAGCTTGCCACTCGTATGGAAGTTCAGAAAGAGAAAAGGCCTACAACTCCGAAATGTCAGCTGTGCTGATTGGGCCATTCTAGGAATTCTAAACCGTTTTTCTCTCTAAACTTACATAGCATTGTGCCCCCATATCATGCCCTACATCTGTCTTTGCTTCATGTTCTTGTTTTTCTGATTGTTTCCCCTTCCAACCCATTTCTCTTGCCACTATGTATCTTTGGTCTCAGGTGTCAAAGGAACTTGGATTGCAGCTCCCATTCATATGCGTATGTATTCTGCATATACAGTAACAGAGGGTAATTTAAGCCACTACCCAGCTGATATTTTCAGTGAAAAATACAGTATTTCTGAGCATGAACAAAATACCTTTGCCTCAGACCCAGATGCCCATCCATGTGCGTCTGGCATTACAACTTTCTATTCCAACAGGTTCACAGCCAAATATCCATAAATAACTATGGATCCTTTGTTGTTGTTTTTTAACATCATCCTGAATCTACATAATAATTACAGTAATTCATAATGGAATACAGTATTTTCTGTTGAAAAATAAAGGCAAATTCCTCACAACAATGCATTTAAATTATTTATTTCATTTCTATTCTGCCCCTTAGCCATTTGTCTTCCATCTCTAGTAGGTATGGAGTTGAATCTACAGAAAAAAAGTTGTGTAGCATGGCTGACAGGGGATGTCGGAAATTGTAGGACTCTTTCTATTTAATCAGAGCAGCTTTTGAGTGGTATAGAAATTAAATAAATAAAAACAAATAAATTATAAATAAACATGCCTAGAATTGCACACTTAATCTCACAAGTTGTATCCCAAACTCAGTGAAGCCAGTCTATTAAAAGCGCCAACTATTAAGGAATATCAAAAGTAATTAATTATGATAGATAGAGATCAATCACCACTTGTTCTACCTGTAAGAGAGACATGATTAGGCCCATATTGTCAGTTTCCAGCCTTTTCAGGGTAAAAGTGGACATGAGAACAATGAAATACGATTAGCCATGTCTTTATTCATTGTAGCATGTGAATTTGTGACAACATTGTGTTGCAGATCCCACTTAGTCCAGCTCTTGTCATAAATTCCCCATACTGGAAATACTAGTCCACAGGCAGCTGATGATCAAAACATACGATTTAAGGTACAATTCTGTGCATGTTTGAAAAAAAAATGTTTGTGATCATTCTGTTTGCTCCGAAACATTATGCCTTCTCCAAAACTGAGCATTGCCCATTACCTCGTGTTCATTCCCCCCCCCCCCCATTAGAGGCAATTTGCCATTTAAAGGTGGCATTATCATGAGCTAGAGTTGTTACTTAGCATAGGCTGGGGAGAAGCATCTCTTTTGTCCCAATGGCAGAATCCAGTTTCGGGGAAGCTCTGGGGCGGGAGTGGGGGGGGGGGGCGCGCACAATGGAATGAGTGACGAGGGAAAAGACAAATGGTCTGGGGTTAAAATATCAGCATGCTTTGGTTTACAGCTTTTGCTTTTAGTAGCCACTGGCACTGCACCCCCTGACTGAGGGCTAAAGCCTTGTAGTCCAGGTAGGGGTGTAAATTGCCCCCCTACAGAGTGGCAGGTGCACAAGCAAACACCATTTTATGTCTGCATTCAGGATAGTGTTATAAGTAAGTTTTAGGCACAATTCTATGCAGGTTGGGACAGAACGAAAGACATCCTACAATTCCCACCATCCCTCTGGCTGAGGCCTTTTTCAGTTTAATCATGCATAGGGGTGCACCTGCAATAAGCAAATCTTAATATACTCAGAATATTTTGCTTTTGTTTCTTTTTAAACACAGTTGGCAAAAAAATTATATTGTTCTTAGAGCAGTTGCCAAATGAGCGGCAGCTGAGCTGTTGCCCGTTTACTCAGAAATTCAGCTCCACTGTCTTCAGTGAGGTCTTCGCCTTCGTAAGTACCTTTCCAATTGCTGCCTAACTCGATTCCAAAGCATGGCGTAATAGCTCCTGACGGTCAGTGGGAAGCGCTGGGTTCAATTTTTCCGTCAGATCTGGGCGAGACCTTTGCTCAGGGCTTCTTAAGCCAAACTAGCTGCCTTACGGGGCTGTTGTGGGGCAAAGGATGCGTGTGGCGGAAAGAGAACCAGCTACAGCGCAATAAAGTATCTCCAAAACGAAGAGCAGACTATCAACCTGTTTACCCTGATCTAATCTCACGGGTATTTAGAAGACGGTGCGTGGCCAGTTACGTAACCAGGTTTGCTAAACCGTGAGGGGCGGGCAGGAGTGGCTCGGTTGACCCGCGCCGGCCGCTGAGTCCCCCTGGCCGCAAGGAGCCGCTGCGAAGCCGGAGCGAGGGAGGCGGAGCCCGGGCGGAGCGAGGTTAGGGCACCGGCGGTAGGGTGCTGCTAATTGCATCTACCGGCGCGGCGGCGGCGGCGGCGGCTCGGCTCGGCTCGGCTCGGCCCGGCCCGGCCCGGCTCCGCGATGGCGGTGACTAAGAAGCTGGCGATTCGCTTGGCCTACGCGGCGTTCGGGGCCGTGTCGGGACTGTCGGTCTTTCTCGCCTGGAACCTGGCGCCGAGCCTGCGGCAGCCATGCACAGCTGCCGCCGGAGGGCTGGGCGGTAAGTCCTCCGGTGTAGCACACGGAGCCGTGGGAGCGTTTTTGGGTCGTGTACGGGAGCGGTGGCGGGCTTGCGTTTGCAGCTCGCTGTCTCGGCTTCCCCCGTCTTCCGCGAGCCCTTCTGTAGTGGATCGTGACCTCCCCAAGCCAAGGAGGCAGATAGTGGTTCTCTTTTGCCCCTCGGAGGCTGTTGTCGGGGGTGAAATTCAAATTATTCGCAGGCGCTGCGCAAGACTTACATATGCCCTGGCCGTCCCCAAAGCCTGGTACCCTCCAGAGATCTGGGACGACAGGAAGGCTGATGCTAAACTCTAAAATTCGACTGTGCCATCGTTGTGCTGCCCAGGGGCCCTGATAAGCAATTCCATCTACCCAGAAGTTAGCCACTTCGGTTTAGTAAGACATGGAAAGTCCCTGTATAGAGCTACAACCTTCTCACAGTCTTCCCTCGCTTTTACTATTTTGCTGGGCGCCATAATAACTGCCACAAAAGTCTTTGCAAACAGGCAAGTTACTAGTCCGCAGTGAACTGACTGGTCTGCCCACATTTAAACTCAACCTTTTATGTACCTGGAAAGGGATTCTTACTACCACAAGGAATCAGAGCAGTTTTATTTACAATTTGTCTTTCGCATACTATTTACATTTTGTTTTTTTGTTGATTTCAGTGTTTACCTCCATCATAACAAGAAGCACATGAAAAGCATGAGATCCTAATAAACCAGAAGGCATTAGTCTTCCTAACCATTCATTCCCTGGGTGCCAAAAGCCAGCTGATTAAAAAAAATCTTTATGATATAATTTTAAAGTGTCCAGATGTTCTGTGCTGAATTTAAAAGGAGCCAGATGCTCTTTTGTTGGTATGAGTAGTGTTCATGGGCCATCCTGTTTAGTAGTACAAGCCAGGCTTAAGGTGTGGCATTGGTAGCTAATTTGCATGGTGTTTCTTTGCGTGTGTTGTGTGCATGTTATTTTCCTTGCAACAACCCTGTAAGGTAGGCTAGATCACGTTGTGTTTTATGGCTGAATCTTTCTGGTCTTTCTCCAAGTCTGTAATGGTACCTTCCCCAACCTGG